ATCACAAATTTCTTAGGCAGCCAAGAGTAAATGGTACTTCAGAAGGGAATCAGTTGATTTACCTGGCCTGCTAGGAAGTGGAGGAAAGGCTCCTGGGTGGTGAATGGGGATGAACTGGGAATTGCTTGCCTGACTTGGAGTCTGAGTTACTGGTGTTTTCCTGGCTTCAGACACAGGAGTCTTCCTCATCTCAGTCTGAGATTTCACCTATTCCAAAGAGGAATCACAAAAAAGCAAAGATAAATTACAGAGGTTTTTTTTACACAACTATCCACAACAAGACTCAGCCCTAAAATGAAAGGCTGAGATTATCTAAGGTATATTTATTATACCCAAGTAGCCAGGGTATGAAAATTTGGGAGATCAAAGTTCACTTTCTTGCTTATGCTGTGATTTTGGGCAAGTTACTTGGCTTTTCTATGCTCCAGTTCCTCACATTTGAAACAGGGATAACTGTAATTCCTGCCTTAAAACCTCCTGTGAGATAAGTTTCCACTGAAGCCTAGAGACACCCACATCTTAGTGATGGAGGCCATATAGAAAAGTACGTAAAACAGTCTCCATAGACAAAAGTGTTACATTACTAACAGTAACTTACCATGCATGAGCATAAATACAGTCCAGAACCAAAGCTACAATGCTTTTCCCAAGCCACTGATCTACTCTGAGGCAGTATTTGGGCAAAGCCCCGTACCATGTGAAGCATGAAATGACTCAAATAATGCAACACAAACTCTGAAATGATGTGACAGCTCCCCACAATTTGCTAGTTCAGGCCCCTCTTTTTTTTATTCATTGCCCCCACTTACTTGCACATTATCTTGTGCAATTTCATATTCAGCTCATTTTTGCTCTTCTTATTTTTAATGGAACAAAATTTTGAAGTCAGTCATGAAAATTTAGGTTCAGTGGAACAATTTTATAAATTATAAGATTTATGCCTAAAGTTAAGGGGCTGCATACTTGCTTTATACAGAAGAATTTGAATATGTAATAAGTGCATTAAAATGCACACTGAAGGGTCTGTTTTAAAAGTACCACTGATCAGCTGTTATTTTTACAATGTATTTTATTTTTTTCCTGATTTTTCCTATTTATTAATTATGCTTAGCTTGACCAGTTTTTCCCCAAATTGCTAAGTGACCCTGCATGGTGGGGAAATACAGGTAAGTGTTTCAGTTTAATTAAAGGTCTAAAATATGAGCCAACCTTTACCAAAATACAGTGAGGAACATGATCCGTTTAGTTTTCCTGCAGAAAAGGAAAACTCAGTGAAAGATGTTTAGACTGTTGCAACTTTGTTTGCAATATTCACAGAATTGTCTCAATATCCCCCAAAATATTTTCCATAAAAGTTAAAAACATAATTATCATCTTATTTTGTAAACAACTTGAATGATTACCATAAAACTGTCCTACTTTGTTTTTACTGTGTATATAAGGAGGCTTAGAATATTCTCACCAAATACAGTACTTCTCCTGTCAAGGGTTAAAAAATAAGGTACTTTAGAAATATTAATATTTTCTGTAGTGCTTTAGCAATTTAAGTATTAGAAGATAGTAAATTTGGTTTTATTGGTTTCTTTAGTTTCCTAACTGGTAGAACAATTTCATATTATAGTCACCGATTAAGCATTTTCACACTTTAAGCAGAGATTACCCGCTTTGATTAAGTTATAGTTCATTACCACCTGCAGACTGAAATGAAACTCCTACTCAAAAGTAACTCAGGTGCATTTCCAAAATCCCCCACTGAAAATGGTCAAGTTCCTATTTACACACCTAAACTTAAGCTCCTGTTCTCCACACCCCACCCTGTCATCTTGCCTTGCACGTTTCTAAAGAGTTTGCAACTTTATTAAAAAAATGTCTATGTAATCCTTCCACCATTTAGGTATTTTAGATCTGACTACGATTGTATGCTACTAAGATAAAAATTGCTAACATTTTTTTTAACTTCATATGTTATAAAACACTTGTGTATGTTTAATTTGAAGCAAATCAGTAAGTTTAACTGGTGTTCATCAGTCATTATGTATTTGCTCAAGTGTTTGCAGGATCAGGGCCTTAGTTTTCAGCATTTCACATTCGCTTACAGCAGTTCAAAGATAACCTTCCCGCAGAACAATTAAATTTACATTTATAGTTCATTATAATGTTTAAAGCTGCAACAGCAATACATTTTCAAATCTGTTCTCAAAGACCATGCTCCCATTTTTTAATTGTCTCTATTTTTCAAAAATAAAATCAAGACCCTTAAATTTAAGTTCCCTGGATTTAAAAATTCTAGATTCAAGTCCCCCATTCAACTGAAAAAGATGATACCGCCAGCTGCTTCCACACTGCACCTAAAATTTATATAAATAAATCAAATCTTAGATGCAACAGGAAGGAGCTGGAAGTATATCAAATACAAAGAGATGGGGACTGGTGGTAAAATTTCCTCAGTAGAACAAGTGATATTATTTTTACACACACATCATTTACATAATGCATTGTGTATATATGTATCTATTTCATGTATATATACACACTATACATATATAATACATAAGTGATATATAAACAGACCATATAAAACACGTTACATAAATATATTATAACCAGGGATCCTGGTTTTCTGTTTAAAAATCATAAATTATCTGATTAAAACCCCCAAAATCCATAATTAAAATGAAATGCCATTATATATACATAGGTATCAGCTGAACACAACATTTTATTGATATAGTTACAATTTAAAAGCAATCTGGAAGCCTACCAGTGCCTCAATCACTATAATAACATAAATTATAAATTCTGGTGTCTGATTTTGGGTTTATCATGGAAAAAAATCTGGCCCCAAGTCCCACACACCACCCTGGCTGGACAGCAGCCCCAGCCCTGCCCAACTCCCTCCCTCACTATGGAGGCCTCAATTTTACCTCCCCCCCCCAAACTTACCTGTGGAGAGCTGCTGTCCAGGCTGCCTGGTGGCACATGCACACGGTACCCCCCTGCTGATCACCCTTCTCCTACACCCCCCCCATCTCTTGCAGGCTAGAACTCTGCCAGTTTGCAAGGGGAAACCCACCATTTCCCACATTTTTCTCCTTTAAAGGAGAAAATCAGGGCTTTTCTCCTAAAAATGAGAAAAATGGGTTTTACTGATTTTTTCCATGGCTAATGGAAAACCCAGATCCCTGACTATAACGATACATGCAGTAAAAATATGTTCCTTAATATACCACTGTTATCTTTTATCTTACAAATCATCTCATTTTTATTTTATCTATTTGCTAATAACCCTTATTAGAATTAAAATGCCAGAGGAATGCAGAGATGACAATGCCTTCCTCAGGCAGTCAGCACCCAAACCCTTAAGTAACTTACAGGTCAAATTCTCTATCCTATCCTAAAGAGTACACTTCTAGTAGGAAATACTACTTAGCTGGTAAGCCTTTAAACTTTGCCTAAGACTGCACGTTTGAGGAAACTCCAGAAAAACATTAGCAGATCACCAGTTAGCCAAAGTTACACTGTGAGTCCCAAAGAAACGCATGAAGTAACTCCATGGTAGATCAATCAGTCCCTAGTAAGTAGACCCTAAACCACCAAGTCACAGTGACCAAAGGTAGTGAATGTATCCAGTAGTCAATTTTAACAATGACAGTGTTGGAGCAGAGGCAGGAATCTGGCCTGCAGGCCAGATAAGGCCTGCGATGGACTCAATTTCCCAGAAGCCCCTGCATGCATTGCTTCAGCTGGTTTCCATGGAGACCCAAGAAGCAGCAGGGCCAGGGTTTCCATGGAGACTGGCCCAAGCAGCAGCATAGGCAGGGTAGTCGCTGGGCAGGAAGCTGCTCCAGGGCCAGGGCTTTGCAGTGGTAAAAGTGCAGGCTGGAGCTGGGGCGGAGCTGCGATCTGCTGCCCACACACCCCAGGCAAGGGACATGCAGGCAACAGACTGTGGCTCTGCCCTGGCTCCAGTTCGCACTGTTACCTCTGCAAAATCCTGGCCCTGGAGCAGCTACATGCCCAGTTGTTTGCCCTTCTAACACTGCTTGGGCATCTCCATGGAAACCCCAGCACCATGCTGTCACAGCTCCACCGCTCCTGGGGCTAGAGCGACATGGGCAGGGGCTGTTTGAAACTGGAGTCCAGTCACTGGCTGGATCCACCATTTTGCCCACCCCTGTGCTGAAGTGATATTGTAGCCACCATGGTCCAGGAAACAAGAAAGAAATTTTGTGAGCAATATTTTATTGGACCAACTGCATAGTTAGAATCATTTTAGACAAGCTTTTGAGTGACATGAAGAATCCCTTTCATTTGAAAATTAATCCTAATCATGTAGTCAGTACAATAAAAATAAAAAGAACAAACCAAAAAAAACCCCCACCAACATTACCTAGGATTTAACTGGTGTCAAAGCAGCTGAGGCCAGTGCTCAAGGCAGGAGAACACTGAACAAATAAAACCTCAACAGTATTTGCTAAACTCAGAATCAAAATAAAACCACTAGTTTCCAAAAAACTTGGATCAGGATGTTTCACCAAAACTCTGGCAGACACCGTACTCTCCCCTCACACACAGACATGCCTTCCAGACAGCATGCCCCACCACACACACAGCTCATGATTTTTTTTCTAGGTCTGTATGAGATTTTGGAAAATTAAGCTCTCTAGAGAGGAGCACTAAAATGAACACGGAATTCTACAGTTATTTCCATAAAGTGACTGCACACCAGAGATATTCAACACATAAAGGGGGTGTTTTTTGACTCCCAGCACTATCAACAATCCTGCTGTCTGACAGTCAGTGTATGTACTGGCCCATGAAAGGCACACTAAGATTCTGCAGGCCCACTTGTTCTCATATACACCCATGTAACTCCATTGCCTTAAGTGAATATAACAGTACAGGTAATTCCTGGGACTTAATGTTGTTCCAGTTAACGTTGTTTCATTATTACGTCACTGATCTATTAGAGAGCATACTTATTTAAAGTTGTGCAATGTTCGGTTATAACACTGTTTGGCCACCGCCTGCTAATAGGCAACTCCTGTAATGTAACTGGATTCGCTTAACATCATTTTGCTTAAAGTCACATTTTTCAAGAACGTAACTACAACGTTAAGCAAGGAGTAGCTGTACAAACACTAAAAGTACAGACTGTATTAACTGCATATTTTGCACTATGCACACAAGAGGTGTTAGACTGTTAAGCCGGAACTGCAGTTTTTAACAAGAAACTTCATACAGAATTACAATTTAAAGCATGGCTATCTAACTGGCAGCCCATGGGCCACATACAGCCCTTGGGGTCCTAGTCTGAGCACTACTCCCCCTATTGTTCTCTTGAAGTAGTGTAACATGGGGTGAGAAAATGGGGCACATGCCCCAGGTGCCACCTAAAGGGAAAAGGTGCTGGCAGGACAAAGGGAGGGGAGTGCCTCAACCCTGGGCTACTGCTTACCTTGCTCCTGCCAGCCTGCAATTTCTAGCTCCTGAAAGCAACCAGTACAGAGAATGGGTAACACAGACTGCAAGGTATTCTGGGAGTCAGTTTCCTAAAGTACCAGTTTCCTACTGTTCAGGGAGAATTGAACCCCATTTTTTGCTGCCAAAATCAGCATTCTGGCCTCTGGACACAGGGTTCAGTGGCAAAAAATGGGGTGAAAGCTCCCCCCCACAAGCAGTGAACTCCACACAGTTATGGAGGTGCTGGAATCATTCAGTAAGGGTGGAGGAGCACTTGCCATGCACTGCACACAGCATACAGCCCTTAGCCTCTCAGAAGTTGGACAGCACTGGTCTAAGTTATGGAATACAAAGTTACCTTCCAATGCCTGTCCCAGATCCCCCAACCTCCAATGGTAAAATTTTGTAGCTCGTCAGGAAAAGGCAGAAATCACTTACACTTAGTCATCTTATTTTATTACTTATTATTTACATTGAAACTGTAATTTACTGCTGCAATAAGGATACCATTTTACTATATACTGTACCATACAAACAAAAGTTGGCCCATCCATGGCCTGAACACTTTACCATAATGTAAGGTAATAGCCTCTGATTCTGAGCACACTTACCTGCACTGCCACATTCTGCTTTCCTGCCTCTTGCATCTTCTCCAAGCTGCATTTCTTGGTCTCGTTTTTCCTCTTGTTGTTGTCCTTTTTTCCATCATTCTTACTGGCTATTATTCCTTTGCTAAAGTCTCTTCTCTCCCTACCCACATCTTTCAGTGGATAGATACGCCCTTGTTCTCTGTTCATTTCTCGTGGTTTAATGTTCTCCTTAAATGTGACCATTGGTTTTTCTCCTGTATCACAGTTGCTATTTAGACTTCTGCCAGTGGACAGAACTGATTTGAGTCCTGGGCTCCCATCTACAGACAGTGATTCTGCAATGGACGTTTCTTGCAGGGCAAGACTTTCTTTGGCTTCACTAGGATCTTCTAGTAATAACTCAGGGATTTCTGTCAAAAACAGCAGTTTTCCTACCTCATTTTCACACTGAATCAGCCTAAAAGGCAAAAAGAAATTGGATAGCATTCATAATCATTTGGACACTACATTCCACTTTCCCAAACTAATAAGGGTCTGACAAACAGAGAGTGAACAGAAAGCTTCATCACTAGCTCCATTGAGATTGCTTTACATCTTGTGGACTGAAGGCATTCTTTATTATGGACTCAACACCCTACTGCCCAATCACTACCACCATGCATACTGCTGTCACTCTTATTTAACTGTACTGCTATATTATTCAAAAGCCCCACTATACTAGACACTACACCCAAAATAAAATTCATAACAGTTTATCATCTAAGACGGTGGCTGGCAACCTTTTTAAGCCATGGGCTGGAACATCATAGCTCCAGCCTGATGTAGGCCAGGGGATTTATGCAGCAGATCAGGGCAGGGCTTTCCTTGTAGCTACAACAGGGCCAGGCAGTTGGGAGTTACCACTTCTCCCAGATCCCTGTTCACCAACAAGGGCATGGACCCAGCTACCAACAAGTGGGGAGCTGTGCCAGAGCTGGGCAGCTGGAAGCTGCTCCCATGCTTTTGTCACTCCTGTAATGCAGCCGGAGGGCAGGAGGGCAAGGGAGAAGTGGCAGTGTGGACAAAGCTTCCAGCTGCCTGGCCCCAGCACAGATTCTCACCAGCTGGAAGCTGCACCATGCAGTCAGGGAGAGGATAGGATGTAGATGGGAGAAGCAGCAGCAGCCCCGGCAAGGACTCAGGCAGAAGCAAAGCCTGCAGGCTGTATTTTGCCAACCCCTGATCTAAGACATTTGGGAAGTCTCATTAATGCCCAGCACAAACACCACAAATTCACACACTAGTCTGTCAATAGCAAACTACACAACACTACAATAATACCACATGCAAATGTTTTAGAATATATCACCATTTCCATTCAGTCCATCTTTAACACCCATCATTACTCAAGCCCTACAATAGTAACAAAACTACACCCAAGTGAGGGACAGTAGACAAAAGTTTTGTACATACCTTGGCTGGTTGTCGGCAATCCATTTCCCTGTGAAGATCAAGCGCTGTTGCCGTATCCGCCGTTGCTGCCCCTCTTTGTCTCCTGTAATTGCCTGATGACCTTTGGAGAAATCCAAGTTCCTAGTGTTGACATAAACAAAACAAAATTAGTCTCATTTGCCTCCTATAAAGGCAAATATAGGTCTTTGAAAAATATCACAATGAACTGCCCAGTTAATTTACTGCAATTCTTGATTTCAATTCTGAAATACTTAAATTGCATTTTATAATTATAAGTGTCCAAACTGCATTTTCAGTTTTACTTATGTTTAAACAAGGATATGCTCACTCCCAAACTATCTTCTATTTATTCCTATAATGAAGTCATAACATTACTGGTACTATTTCTATTGAAATAATGGAATTTACTCCGATGCCAATTACAGACGTACTTGACTATGGGACCACACTTAAGAAAAGATTAGGATGAGCCAGAGAAAAGCAGACATCTTCAACAACAGAAGGATACAACTTGGTTAAATAATTCTTTTCCTCCTAACTCTATTCATTTCCTAACTTTTCAATGCAAGTGACTCTTCTAAGCCAGGCTCAATAACGAAGGAAAGTACAGAAAGCTTAAATTTAAACATTTAAACCAGAACATGTTACAAGTCTTTATTACATATGATACTTATTTAATTTTGAGACTTCAGGGAAGTGTCCTTAAGAGTTTTCCCTTCTTCCACAACGTTATGGTTTTCCATTAATGAATGTGGAATCTAATGTATCAAGAAAACAGAGCATCTGGAATCCTGACAGACCAGTTTCTCTTTGTTACTAGATCTGGCTATTTCCAGTGGGTTCAGGGCAAGCTACAGAAGTGTTGTTAAAGCAGAAGGCTGCAAAGGCTGTTTCTGAGTGCTGACAGCATGAACCTGTGCAGACACTACAGATAGCCCAGTAAGTTAATAAAAAAATTAACATGTCCAGCTAAGCTAGGTAGCAAGGTCGAATTAAAGAGAGCAGAAGGCAGAAGAGGGGAGGCAGCCTTAAGACAGATATCCCAAATATAAAATTACATCTAATAATCTGGGTGTATCAATTAATACTACATTATATACATATACATCTATTATTAAATACTAGCTTTATCTCAAGAATTAGGAGATATATTTGGTTACATTTGTTAAAGAAATTGTAATAACATAGCCTTGTCAAGTGAAAACCACAAAAAGAGGTAAAACAAAACAAAACCAGAAATGTGGAAAGTGACATTCTGAAATGTTGAAAATTACACTGACAAAAAGTGTAATTTTCACAAGCATACTGATTCCACCCAAGTAAAAACTTTCCACAGTTATGGAAAAAATGATTCAGTCCGATTCTCCAAGTTGCAGTGAAACAAAGAAATGTAAAATAAACCAAATCAAAGAATGTTTGTTAGAGTAAATTATACATAATAAATATAGAGCATAAACTGGAAGGAAAAATGGAAAACCTAGAAATCCAAGTCTATTGTTGCCAATCTAGAGTAAAACCCCTGTTATCTGGCACGAGTGGGAAACTGTGGGTGCTGGTAAGCTAAAAGTGCTCGTTACCCAAGGCACAGGGTTTCTGGCCGAACATGGAGGAGGAGGTGTGGCAGCAGCTGCACACAGAGCAGAGGGTGGGGACAGTGGTGGTCGCACGTGGAGTGGCAACAACACAGGATGGTAGCTGGCGGCGGTGGCTGCCGCATGCAAGCCTCACCCCCCACCTCCCGCACAGCACGTGGCAAAGCAGTGCAGCATAACGCCCTGTGCGTTCTGCCGCTTTCAGCAGCACAGCGCGGCCATTCTGGTTAATACAGTATTCTGGTTGGTGAAGTACCGGATGACAGATTTTGCTGTATATGCCTTCATCCTCCCTCCCTCTTAAGTCTCCCCATGCTGTGCAGATGAGGATCTATACGGACTTCTGTGGTACCCATTTACACACAGGATAAGCATTTATTCTTGTTCTTTCAGGGTATAAACAGTAAGAGATTAGGCCACAGACTTGTCTCTTACATCTTCCCAGTGACCTACTTACCAACGGCCTGTAATCCAGGTAACAGTTCATTAGTGGGTCCATCTACACATGAACTGAACTGCACAGTACAGGCAACCCCAGTTGATGCAGTTTTGGTTAGTGCTATTTTGCTATAGCACTCATTTAAAATTGATACTTGATTTCACTGAGTGCTCAGCCAGTTTCGCTATAGTGCTCAGTGGAATCAGCAAGTTTTGGCGGAAAGCAGCAGCAGTGGCGGTGGCAGCAAGTGTAGTGAGTAGCAATGAGTGTGGGGGGCGAGTGTGGGTGTGGAGGGGTGGGGAGAAGCCAGGCACAGTTGGTGAACTCAGACTGGTGAGGCAGTGAAGCATCCCATGGGGGGGTGGTTACCTTTTGCAGCTGGCCAGGCACGTAGTGGGGAGGCTGGAAACCCCCACACTCCTGGCCAGCTGCAAACATCCACCCTGCTCCTGCAGGACATTTCACTGCCCTACTAGTCCGAGTTCACCAGCTGAAGCAGCAGTGGTGGAGAGGAGCGCGGGGCTTGCACCGGTGCCCAGGGCCAGGGGGACCTGCACCCAGGGTGGGGCCGCAGGAGTACAGGAACCAGGACCGGAGCCGGCAGGAGCCCATGCCCAGAGTGGGGCACCATGAGTGCCAGTGTCCAAGCTGTCATACGGGGCCCGGAGTGGCTGGCGGGCGAGAAGTGGAGGCTGTGAGAAGCGGTGAATGGGGGGGGGGACGGGCATCAGCACAGGGCCCAAGTCAGTGACTGGGGCCAGGGCCAGTGGGGGGCCCAGGGAGGGGCAGCAGGAGTGCAGGCCCAGGCTGGCATGTAGGACTGGAGCAGCCAGTGGGCTACTGAGGAGAGGCGACAGCGGCGGTGAGAAGCAGTGGTAATTAATTATCTATATTTACATTCATTCCTATAAGCAAAGGGGTTTTGCTTAGCACAGTTCCGCTTAATGCTTGGTTCTTCTGGAACCAATTAAGAGCGCTAAGCGGGGATTGCCTGTAGACTAATTTGCTGTGGTGTAAAGCACCACAGTCTACATGTGTGGCACTATTAGACTACAGCAAACTAATTTATGCTGCTGTAAGATGGTACTGTCAGGGATAGTATTATCTGTAGTACTACTTTACAGTGGTGAGAATAACTGTGCCTAAACACATGTGTAAATACTGACCAGGGCGTATATTGTGCCTGGTCAGTCCAGGCAGCAGGGTGCCAGACCCCTGCCTACCACCTAGCCACAAGGCTCAGCACTCTGGGGCACTCTTGTGCCCCAGCCAGCTCCTCCACAGCCCAAAGCTACTTCCCAGAGCCCATGGCTGAATCCCCTGCCAGCCCAGGCCTGTTCTTCCCCAGCTCAAACTGCTGCGGTCCCAGACACAGAGACTACATGTATGCCCTGGACCGCAGCATTTTGAGCATCTACACATGCCATTCACGTGGCAAGATAAACTCTGGCACAAGCCACACCAGAGTTTATCCCATTGCCATAATGACATGTGCAGATGCACCCAGTGATGCTTACAGGGAGATTTACAGTCATCTATACGCAGTTTTATTCACACTGAAAGCTAGTTATAATATGGCACATATGAAAAGTCTTCAAATTCTTAAGTAATTAAAAGTAAAGCCTCCTTCAATTGTCACCTCACCTGAATGAAGGCCTCAGAGCCAAGAATCCCTGCAATTCAAACTCCTCTGGAAGTGGAGTAGCTGATGAACAGACAGGAAACAGTATGAGCAAACAGGCATGTATCTATTAGGTTATGCATATTTAGTCACCATACACAGTACCAGTTACTATTAGACATGTGCTATAATATACTGCCAATGCTACAAAGGCTATAGAAAGTACAGGATAGACAAAATGAAATGTCGCGTGATCTGTTCAGCACAGGAAAGCTATTTGTAAAAATATTTAAGTGTACCAGTACTAGAAGCACCTTCATTTCATTTTCACTATCCAACCATTACTTTAACACAAATGATGCTAGTTGCACTATCACCACCCCCTTCACAAAACAGATTAGGTGGCATCCTTACCATTGTTATTGGACAGA